TATTTTTTTTATGATTTTGATTTAAATAAAATAATATATAAAACTTATAATATCATATAATTTAAAATAATTTTTTTTATATTTAAATATTTATAAGTTAATTTAAATTTGACTCAAAATTTGATCTAAATTCAAATCAATTCAAGTCAAAATTGAATCGAGTTAAACTTGAGTTGAGTTAAATTGAATTGAATTTAAAATTTATATAACTTGAATCAAGTTAAGTTGAAAGATTTTATAAAATAAATTTGACTCAACTCAATTTAAAAAACGAGTTGAATAGAGTTGATATTTAAACTCGATCTGACTCTACTCATTTAGAACTCTATTTATTTTGAAGGTAAGCAATATAGCATAAAATGTTAATATATAAAGAGGATTTGCAGAGACTTGATAAAATTAGCTTTGAATATTTCAATTCTTGCTAATTTTACCTTATCTTAAAGACAAATAGAATGGTATATTTTTTAATATTTTTTGTTAAGTTTAAAATCAAGTTTAAAAAGTTATATAAAATAGTTTTATTTTTGATATCTCAGGCTTAATTCTAAGACAATTTTAATATCAGAAATTTTAGATAGTAGGAAAATAGCCCAAGTTGATTTAAGTATAAATTTTAGAATTTTTGTTTAAAATACAAATTGCATTTCAAATATTTGAAAGTTTTTTAAAATAATTTTAAATGAATATTAAAATGATTTTGGATATTGAATAGATTTCAAATTTTAAAAATTAATTCAGATATCAAATCATTTTGGATATTTAAAATTGAATATTTTTTACATATTTTTCTTTTTTGTTTTTTGGTTTTTTATATACTTTTAAATTATTCAATTAGATAAGTTTTAGCTTTATTTTTTTATATTCTTTTTTAATTATTTTATTTATTTTAAAATAAATAATTAATCAATAAGATTGATCAAAATAATTGATAAGATTTTTGATATTCAAAATCAATTTGATATTTAATATTTAAAATTGTTTTTAATATTTGAATATTTTATTTTCAAATGGAAATCCTAATAAATTCTATATAAGATTTTTAATATATTTTCTGATATTGCAAATTAATTCAGCTAACGAAAAAGATTCTATAAACTTTTATATATCGGAAAAGAGAAAAAGAAGCCAGAAGGTCTTCTACTATTTTTATATCCTATTCAGAATTTTTTTCTCAAGACCCCTAAGTTTGACTTACTAATTATCTAAATTATTCAATCATATGTATTAGAATAAGTTCAATAATAATATTAGTGAAAGGTATCAAAAAAATAATAAAGAAATTTATATTAAAAAAAAGATTAAAACTAATAAATCCTTTTTAAATATTATAAAATATAAATAATTTATTTGTAATAAATTTATAAATATAATAAAGTGTAATTTGATATGTAAATTATAATAATTATATGAATATTTAAAAATTTTTAACAATAAAAATAATTAATAAATTTATTAGTCAATTTTATGATTTTTATAATGTTAAAATAAAATATAAAAAATACTAATTTAATATTAAATAAACTGAAAATTTATCATTTATTGATTATATATTATATATAATAAATTTATTATATATATAATGTATATATTATTTTTATCATACCTTTTCTTTTTTAATTAACTAATCTATATTATATTAAACAAATAATTAGTTTATTTATTCTAACTTTAAGATAAAAAAGAATCTTATATTTATAATTTTATATTCTATTATTATTATTTTTAGTATTTCTTATATATTATCAAAAAGAGATAATAAAAATAATGTAACTTTTTTTTTATTAATTTAATATTTAAATTTTTTAAATAATTTTAAAATCTATTATTATTTTTTTAAAGATCAATAATTTTTACTATTTAAATAATTTAATTATTTGAATCTGATTTGATTATTTAATATCTTAAAAATTTCAATAAAATAATAAAATAACATTAATAAAATATTAAACATTAAATATATAATAAAATATATTATTTAAAAATATAAGTAATAGTTTATTATAATTATATTGTTAAATTTAAAAATCCATTTTAAAATAACAGTTAAAATTTATGTAATCACTCTTTTTAAGATCAAAAAAATATACTTATAAAGGGAGGAGAACTATATTGAAGGTGAATAAATAGGAGTGCCAAATAATTAGTATTAATGTTTTAATAAGTTTAGTAGATAATTAATAATTAATAATTAAAACGATCACTTTTTTATGATATAGAATGATCTACATAAGTGGTTTAATTAAATTAACATGTTAAGCTATTCATATAGTTTTTTTTTCCTCTATTTATTTATGATCTTACCAATCGCCAAATCAAAATGATATCAAATGATGTCATAACATTTGATTTGGTCATGTGGATAAACGAAGGCATTTGTAATTAAAATGAATAAATTTTTTATTCACCAAAAATAATTCTATAGATGAAATTCATATACCGATTTTCCAACTTTTTACATAAAAAAAATTGAAATAAACCTTTTATTTTATTTTATTTTTTTTTTAAGAAAAATACCCTCTGAAATATCAATTGAGGCACCTAATATTTATATTTTCCAATTCAAAATTTGGGAAACCATAAATCTTCATACATAATAAATCCAAATCATAGAAATTGAGTGTAAATAAAGTAGTTAAAGCGCATATAAATATGAATAATGTTTTTTTAAACCAAGTCCAAATGAATAAATATATGAAAAAAAAAAGATGATAAGCGTATATACATAACATATAATGAGTAATGAACAAAAAAAAAAATTAATAACATAATAAATATAGATGATTTTTTACTGTCTAACGTTTCCTTCCCTCAAAAAAATAAAATTTTTTAATGTATGTTGGCATATAAATTAAAACAAAAACATATGGGAAAAAAAAATGATGATAAATGAAAAAAAAAAAAAAAAGAAAAAATTACATCTTGTTAATATAAAGTAACAACGTCACATTTATAAAATGTTACCATTGCTGCTGTTGAACCCACACATGATGTGATGTTGAGGAATTTGAAAATGATTGAGAATGACTTGCCGGTTGAATTAGCATTGGGTGATGGGGATGAGGTGGTACCATCATTTGATGATGTGGAGAATTATTATTGTCAATGTTATTTTCGTTAACGTTAATATTTGTTCCATCTACGTTATTTTGTCCCAAAGCTCCCAAATCCTGAACAGTGTTACCATTTATCATGGCATGACTACCGTTTATAAAAAGGTTGGAAGTATTTTGATCATCATTCATAGGATAAGATAAATAATTAGATGACTGATCCTGATGAATCGATGTGGGATTTCCATTAGAACCCGGAGGAGAATTTGGATGATTCGGAGATGTAGAATTTCCAAGCACAGATACATTCGCACTGGTTTGATTATGATTTATTGTAGAGGGAGAAGGGGACGAACCAGTTGTTGGGATTTGATGATGTGAATTCCCAACTCCGACCACATCCCATTCTCCCAAATAAATTTGACTATTTTGTGTGAATTCCATCATATTGGGATTGAAGTTATTGGTATTATAGTAACCAGAAGATGGAACAACCGGTGGCTCGGCAAGTGATGCAACAGGACTCAAAACCATCGGAGGAGATATCCCCATAAAATGATGATTTGTCGCCAAGTCACCATTTTGTTGTTGTTGCTGTTGTTGCTGCCGAACTCTAGCGTGTGCCTGCATGTTTTGATGGGTCTGTTGTCGCTGATACTGAAGATGCTGCCGAGGAAAAAGGGAGGTTCAGGGGTAAGATTAGATTTAATGTTCTGAATAATGCAGTAAAGTTATAATGTACTTGATTGAAAATTACGTACTTCGACACTTAAAGGTTTACGTGGTCCTAAGGATAATGAAGTCGAAGACGGTTGTTGTTGTTGTGTTCGATCCAATAACATGGGAGATTTTTCAGTTTTTATAATGGAAAGTGAAGCCGACCTAATAGAATCACCATCTGCAGAATCCTGTTGATGTGATGATGGAGGAGAAGTTGGTATTGTTTTAACTTTATAAATTTTATCACTATTATTTCCTCCCTTATTATTACTTTTATTATGATGATGATCATTATCATCATTATTATTACCACCGCCACCATTTCCACCACCCCTATTTGACCCACCATCACCACTACCCCCACCACTATTTCTGTTAATACGACGAATAAAATTCTGTGTTTCAGAATCATCTTGTATTTTGGAAAGCTGCACCTGATAAAGATATTCCAACATATTTATAGCATCATCCACACCACAATGGCCGTGTCCTAATCTTACTCCCTGGGCAATTTTTCGAAGAGACTTGAAAGTTTGTTCCATATATTTTTGTCCAATATGAGAATAATCGGGATCTCCAATATTCAAAATGTGCATTGTCGCTGCTTGTACTAAACAATATGCAGATGCACTGAACGTAAGATATATTCCTTGAGAATCAACCGGTATATAATTTGAAAGTTTTGTGATATTTATTGCAGCTTTAATACATATATCACGGGAATTAAAATTTGGAAATTCATCCGAATCTATATAAGGTCGATGCAGTGAAATTACTACCGTGTTGTACATTTGATTCAAGTATGAACAAAATACCGATATAGAGTTTTGATCAGAATAATCGGGGTTGTATTGTAAATGTGGAGGCAATGCTAATACCCATGAGCTCAATGCTGCATCGATAGCAGGTAAAGTATTCCTTAATGCGCCTGGTTGTGAAAAATATGATTTTGACTGTAATACATTTCCATAAATTTTCATTAATTTGGAATAATGCATATAATTCACCACATCTTGAGCTTCATCTCCATCATCATCAATCTCATATGGAAATTTAGTATTATAATCATAAACTGGCAAAGGTTTGCTGTTGAGTAGGAAAAAAAAAATTCAGATCTAGCTGCCTATCGAATTTGAAGTTTAAAAAAAAAATCATTATACTAATTCGTACCCAAATGACGCGCATACCAAAACCTCGGCATTCATAGCAGCCCAAAATACTCTCGTCCGTATGGCCTTTTCAACTTTACCAATATCCCATTTCGAGCAGTCGCGATTTAAACCCAAATCAGTACTCATTCTCATTGTCATTCCTATTAGCATCCAAATTCGAGTTGAATTTTGAGTCTAACATAAAACAATGAAAGATTTTAATTATCATCAAGGCAAGCTTATTTTTTTTTTTTAAAAAAAACAATTTTTTTCCAAAGAATTTACCGATTTAATACAGAATTGGATCATGAATAACAAAGCCTAAACAAATTTCCAAGATCATATTTAGCGTGTATTCAAAAAATCAAAATCCCCTCCAAAAAGATCATATTTGATCGTACCTGAACGGTTGAAAGACGTCCCCTGTCCATAAAATCATCCAACAACGCTGCAGATATAAGATGCATTTTAATAAATAAAGATCATTGATATAATTTACAAAGCGTGTGAATATATTAACATACATAAAGCACGGGTCCAAAAAATGTCACCGGCCGTCCCTGGGTCATCCGGATCAGTTCGAGTTCTCGTATCATCAGAAAAGATACTAGCAACCGCAAATATGGCATTTAAAAGCAATAAGGAAGGCTGATTATTTTTATCTCTCAACTGCTTAATGAAAGTAGGTTTATGAATAATTGGACCTCTTGATGAATATCCATAACTTAAATACGTTTGTATCAAATGATCAAATAAATCTTTTGGTGGTAATTCCTTTGAGCCTCTGTACACTTTTGGAAGTGGTGGTTCCAAAGATTGAATTTTCTTGGATTCCTTTGAGGAATTTTGTAAATCTTCCATAGAACCTTTAGGCGAAAGGTTTGAATTAAATGTGACATCTGATACCTCTTTTTTCTTTGGAGTAACGTATCTAGTATTTAATTTCAATATCGACGGGGACATTGAATCAGATAATACCTGTGCAGTTTCAGAACTTTCTTTTATTTTTAAAGATTTTGCCATGTTAACGATATCATGTACATCTAATTCAGGATCATTGTTAATGTCTTTTGTTACAGAAGATTTACTATATTGTTGTTGAGTATCTACCCCCTCAAGATACTTTGACAACACTTGCTCAATCTAATGAATCGATTACATTCATATAAAAAAAGTACGATTAACAATGAATCAAAAGATCATAATCATAATACCTTAATAATATGTTACTCACCTTATTCAACCTGTCATCAATTGTTTCGACATATCCACGTTTACTTCCAGGATGGCTATAACTACATTCACCGTTAACAGATTTACAGTTACCACAGATTGGGTAATCTCCATCGCATTTAACGTGTCTTTTTCTGCATCGATCACATGCATGGCTGGATTAAAAAAAAAATTTTTTTTAAATCAAAATCCGAGAGGCGGTTAAATAAGTGAATTTATTCCGAAAAACGGAATTTATCGGAAAAAAAATTTAGCGATTTCCGAAAAAAATAATCAAATGGGGATATATATTATCCTTCGGTCGTAGAACTTTTTTCATACGAATATATATGAACATAAAACTTTCAAGATATATTTTTTAAGCTAAGACGTTAATACGAAAATCATAAAACGTACCTTAGTCTGGCTCGTTTTTCTCTTTCGTTAGACATACCTAAAGTTCTGTTGAAAGTTGGATATTTTTAAAAATCCCGAAAGAATGGAAAGGAAAAAAAAAAATAAATTGTGGTGGAAAAAAAAAAGAGAAAGTATATAGAGTTCTTTTATATGTTTGTATGTATTATTATTTAATATTAAATCATAAGTATAAAAAGAAACAAATAAACACTAACAGCTAATACAAACAAAAAAAGGGTTATTATCTATGTAAAAAAAAAAAAAAAAAAAAAAAAAAAAAAAAAAATAAAATAAAATAAAATAAATAATAATTTATATAATATATGTTATAATTATACAATAGAAATACAATTTTTTTTTTTTAATGGCAAAATGATGTGATATCGATTTTTTTTTTTAATTTTCTAGCTTCAAAAAAAAAAAATCGACTGTAATTGGATATTGCGTCACCACGGAGAATAAAATTTAGAGAATACTCACAAATGATTTAAATGATATTGAACGAGTTAAAGAAGCGAAAAAAGAAGTCTAAAATAAAGGGGTGAATAAAAAAGAATGAAGGAAAGAAAAAGAAAAAAATATGTATATATATTATTATTATTATTATTGATTTTTTTTTTAAAAAGAAATTTTTTAAAAAAAATAAAAATAAAAAATGGAGCAGGAAAGAACAAAAACAAATTTATTGAGAATTTCTATATATAATCAGAGTACTTACCTATTATTTGTTATCTTCTCGCTTTTTTTTTTTTTTGGTACACATCATTTTTGTACATATAAGAACATTTTAAAAGAATATGAGTCAGATATATAGATAAATATAGAAATTTCAATTTTAAGAACCAGTAAAAATTTACAAGGTTTTGAAAGGGAAAAGAAAGTTTGGATGGAAGATTTTTAAAAACACGTTCACATCAACTTACATATTTGTAAAGGATGTGCTGCGTCAATTGCAGAACGGGATGGTCTGTGTTAAATCCGTATATCAGTTGGATGAGAGGAACAAAAAAAAAGTTGAATTCAAAGGGTAATAAGGAACTAATTGTATTTTCAAAGCTAATGAATTTATGGAAAGTGATATTCAGATATTCAGATAAAAGGAACCCATTAAAAACACGCTTTTGCATAAAAAATCAAATTATATTAAAAAATGATTCACTTAGTTTCCCACATAAGTATTAGCGTACAAATTAAGGATGATCGATACCAATCCATCCATTTATATAATAAGAAGCATATCATGGTTTATTTGTGACATCGTATTACATAGATATTTCGTGCTGTTGAAAAAAAGAAAAGAAAACCTTGGAAGGAAGGTAATTACCATCCATCATATGCAAAAACATTCGGCAATGGAGAAATGTTTGGCCGTCCTCATAGATACAAGCACCATAAAAGGAAAATTCGACTTTGCAACGACCATTCGACTTGGAAAATCTCCGTATGTACATTTTTTATTTAAAAATACGGAATATAAACAATTTCTCATGATTTGGGTTTAGCTTGGTAATTATTATAATTATAGTAACGTAAATAAAACTTAAAAAGAATACCTTTTTTGAGAAACTATTTGATTTATGGTATAACAAACAACAAACGTTATGTAATTGATGGTTTAACAAAACTGGAAAGGAAAAAATAAATTATATTTATATATTAAAATTTATGCATATGTTCGATCATTTCGTGTTCCCATAAAAAAATAAATCCTGAAAATCTACCGGTTTTTACCCGAGAGAAAAAAGATGACGGTTACACTTCATAAAAAAGAATTCAAAACATTATAATAACATTATCAAAAAAAAAAAAAAACCTGTAATGTTTCTTGAAATCTCTCCAATGAAAATTTCTACCAGTTTTAATTTAATATAAACAAAAAAGATTTATGGTCACATTCAACGTTTTTGCCCTTATTTGTACAAGTACCTTTAGATTCGTATTTCTCTTAACGGAATAAAGGAGGATAGGAACCTTCCCAGAGAAAATAGATTGGAATGTGTTCGTGTTATCTGTTGTCACACTTGTACAAAGTATCAGCCAAAATTCTTTTCCAATGATCAATATGAAAAATGAGAAAAAGAACAAAAAAAACTTCGGGTGTATCAGAAATAACAAACGTACAAAATTAATAACAAATTAAAAAAAAAACAATTAAATGTTATCACTGTGATCTTTTGAGCGGCAAAAAAACTTTCATTTTAGTAACAATGGTCGATTTTCCTTGATATCTCATACTTAAAAAGAAGAAATATTTCGGTTAAAAGCACAAAAACAAAAAGATAAAGGTTAGCCACCCTTAATAAATATGAGAAAATTTCTTTGTTTAAGAAGAATAATAATAAACAAATATCAGGTACAATGATAAGTACTAATTGAGATCAATCGCTGCGTCTGCTACGCCATCTTCAACAAAAAAAAGTCATTGATTTTTTTTTCGTAAAATAATGAAACTTTATATGGAAAGCCGATGTTTACGTTACTCTTTACGCCTAACATTTTAAGTGAATTGACAAATATTTTCACAAGGAAAAGATTGATTAAATGGCGTTTTTCGTGTAATTTCTTATGTGGATGCTTTTTAAACATGTTTCAGCTATTTTTCAAACTGAACAGGGTTAAACTCATGTCAGTTCACTTGAACAAAGTATTATTCGTTCTCTTGAAAACAAGATAAACTAGTTCTCAAAGCGAAATTGTTACACCATCATATTATTAAATTATGGTTTTATATAAATCTTCGATTCTCTGAGTCATAAGATAACATTGTAAATCATTATTAATCATTTGGATGGCTTAGCCTTTTTAAAACTCCTTTTTACGTTAATCTATTTGTTAAAAATGTAACCCTAACTTACTTATTACTATCAATAGTCGCGCGCGTCTAAAATTCGATGATTCTGTTTCGAATCAAATTAAGTTAAATTCAAATTTTTTTTTTGTTTATCTCTTTCTATTAGAGCAAATGATTGACATGTTCTAAATCAAATGGTCATCAACAGAAAGATCTTTTGTTTTTGAGTTACTTGATTTAATTTTGGTATTTCGATTTGTTCGATGCAAAAAAAAAAAAAAAAAATTATACATGTATTATTTATTTATGAAAAGCACGTATTCGTTTATGGTTTAAGTAGTTTGATACACCTGAGATCTGCTTAAAATACATGCTTTTAATTATTGTTAAAAATTACCTTTTTTGGCAATATTTGTTTTTTTTGTTTTTTCTCATCGCGCCATCCAATGCGTGATCTCCACCCACGTGCTTTTTTAGTGGCATTATGGAAGATGGAAAAATCGAGGTGTGACATTAAGATGAATTATAAGACCGTAATCACGTGATGAGCGCAGCAAAAAAACGAGATCCCGATCTCGGGATAAATAAAAAATCTAGTGCAGATTACCACGCAGAAATTGCTACATTAATTGCATCTGTAAATTATTGGTCTTCCATTCATGCCAGTAATTTATTTTCAATAATACAAGAGAAAATAATATTTACGTTTCTAACAAAAAAAAAAAAAAAATAAAAAAAAAAAAGCAATTTTATTTTCTTTTATGTTTGTTTTTAATTTTAAATAAATAATTAAATGAAAGGGGAAAATATAATTACAAAGAATTGCTTAATAATTAAAAAAAATCCCTTATTAATACTAAATACTTTTTAAAACTTAATTAAAGAATCGGCTTACTAAAAATGCTTTTTTATTTACTTGTTTATGTTTTATTATCTTTCAAAGCAGTTTCTGCGCCTCATGTATCAATCCTGAAACAAAAAAAAAACCAATAGATTACGATTGTATCGAATGATAAAAGATTAAAGGTACATAACCCTGAACCTTGCTTGTAAAGCTAAAACATTGGTACATAACATTAACCCCTTTTGTTTTTTTTTGTTTTTTTTAAAAAAAAAAAGTCTGCATTTATTATTCTTCATTAGCCCCTAAATGTTGATCTTGAACCATGGAGAAATAAATTTCATTTTTGGCTAAAAGCTCTTGATGAGTTCCTTGTTCCGCAACTTTACCATCCTTAATCACAAAGATAACGTCAGCGTGTTGTATCGTAGACAATCGATGTGCAATAGCCAAAGTGGTTCTCCCCTTGGCCGCAACATCTAATGCCTTTTGTACTACTTTTTCGGATTCGGAATCCAAGGCTGAAGTAGCTTCATCCAATAGTAAAATCTTTGGATTACGTATTAAAGCTCTTGCAATCGCAATCCTTTGCTTTTGACCTCCAGATAATTGCGATCCTTTACCGCCAACGTATGTATTATATCCTTCAGGTAATGAAACGATAAAATCATGAATATTGGATTCTTTACATACTCGTTCAATATCTTCTTGCGTTGCATTTTGATTTGGTTTACAACCAAGTAATATATTATCCTTAATAGACATATTATATAAAGAGGGTTCTTGACTTACTAACGCAATATGCTCTCTTAAATTATTAACATTCATTGTTGTTATATTGACTCCATCAATTTCAATTTTTCCTCCTGTAGTTTCATAGAATCTCTCTGTTAATCCAATCGTTGTGCTTTTACCACATCCTGACGGTCCAACCAATGCCGCGTATTGACCCGGTTTTACTTCGATGTTTAACCCTCTTAATACTCTTACATGCGGTCTTGTCGGATATCGAAAGTGTACATCTGTAAATTTAACATATCCCTCAACTTTTTCTAATTTTCGCCCGGTACGAGACCATATGTCAATAGATGGGGTCCTTTCTAACAGAGAAATAATTGTTGCGGCCGCAGATTTCCCCCTTATTATGTCTGGAGCGAAAGCGAAAACGCGCCCCGCAGACATGGATCCGAAAATGATTGCCATAAATACTAAGAAAGAGTTTAAACGAAAAGTTAAATAAATATATATATATATATTTTTAATAGTTTGCAAGGTTACAAGTTATATTTACCAACAAAAAATTTTTCCAAATTGTATTCCCCATTTGCGAACTTTTATAAAAGGATTATTTCAACATATTACAGAGATATATTAGCATAATTATTAGACATAAGTAAGTTGAA